TTTTGATTCATCCTTTTCTAACAAGTTTGTTTATTTTGATAGCGCTTACACATTATGGATATTTATAGAAGCACATCAAGGGGACTTGGAGGCAATCCGACAAGCTTTGGAGGTTTCCTCTTCAAGTTCCATTGGAGCATCATGCACACGGCCACTAGGCGATAGCCCTAGTGAGGTTTGCGAGTTCGAAACCATTAATGATTTATCTAATGATGAACTTGTTTGTGCTAGTGAAAAATTATTGCAAGCCTTTAACAAATTGCAAAATGATTTTAATGATTTAAAAAGCAAGCATGATGATTTAGAATCCAATCATGAGGAGCTAGTGTCAAAATTGGATGTCATTGCAAAAGAAAATACCATGCTTAAAGAAAACAATGACATGTTAATTTTGGAAAATGAAAAATTAACCACATCTATAACTAGCTTATCTCATGAAAAAGATAATGCCAACTTAGAAGTAGAGAACATACAAAATGATACTGCTTCCTTTATAAATGACTATTTATGTTCTACTTCTAAAAATGCATATGCGCCTAAAAATGAAGATTTGAATCTCATGAAAAATTGCATTTCATCTTTAGATTCAACTCTAAAAACATGCATTAATAATCATAAGAAACTTATGGATATGTGTGCCAAGTCTAAGTCAAAATCATCCACTCATTATGCACACATATATAGCAAAGTTTGCAAATGCTCTATTTATGGCCGAAAAGGTCATTTATCTAAATTTTGCTATGATGCACACAAACATAAAAATGCTAATGCTCCTTGTGCATATCATGTAGTTTCTTCATCACATGTACACACACATGCACATAAAGTACATCATAAGCATGCTCATGTGTATCATTGTGATCTTTGTGGTCGGTTTGGCCATTTGGTAAAGTTTTGCTTTGATTTGAAAAAGAATTCTAGTTTGCCAAATGTTTCTAGTAGACCACATGTTTTTAAATGTGATGTTTGTGGTAGGTTTGGACATCTTGCTAAATTTTGCTATGATATGCAAAAAAGCTTCTAAATTACAATATGTTCCAAATAGACCATTGTTTAAGAATGTTTCTCATTTGCAAAATGAATTTAAAAGACAATCTTTATTTGCAAATGATTCCCGTGCACCGTCACTTGGTCAACAAAATCAAATGGGCCTCTTTCATTGCACTAATTGTAATCGGAAAGGTCATTTACACAATTTTTGTTTTGACCGTGCTAGTGCACCAAATGTGCCCAAACGGGTTCATAACCCTAGGGCCTTGAGCTTAAAAGATAGGAGTCATGTTCCTAAATCCTTTGGTACCAAGAGTTCTTGGGTACCAAAACAAATTTAATTTTTTAACCAAGAATTTTAGTGTTTTTCTTTTTTTTGGTTTTGAAAAATTATACTTTAAACTTTTGAACATGAAAACAATTTTTTTTATAAAATTCTTTTGTTTTCATGACTATGAGTTTTAATTTTCATGAGAGGTTTATATTTATGTAACCCCCCGGGTTTATTGGGTGTTTATTCCCAAATCATGTTTACCGGATGCAAAAATGCTTATATGGGTTAATACTAGCTCAAGAGCTAGATATAGTTGCCTCTCTTGATTTTTGTAAATCAAAGATGATTTTTTTTCAAATCCATAGTTCATGATTCTTGTATGTTGCTTTTTGAACTATGAAAATTTTGCTTTGATTTGTTATTTTGAATTCATTATATAAGCTCAAATAGATGATTCAAATTTTAAATATGCTTTATAATGTATTCTATGAGTGGTTTGATCAAGTCTTACAAAAAAAAAAAATTCTGTTGATCAAACATCATTTTTGGTTTAAATGGTTGATTTATGATTTCATTTGGTTAATTTGTTTTCATTCGAAAACTCTTTTTGCATGATTCTCATGTTTTCTCTCTTTTGATTTCATAAATCTATTTTTTATACATGGTTTTTAGGCTTGTATTTTGAGACACATATTTATCATGACATATCTTTATGTGTTCTCATTATCTTGTTTGTATGTGAGTGATATCTAGCATATCTTTCATTTATGCTTGTTCACATTTGTTTGCCATGTTCATAATTGCATATTTTCCATATGGCAATTTGATAGGGGGAGCAATCCCTATACTATGTGTTATACTCACCCATGCTTATTGATAGGGGGAGCTTTCGCTCTCTTATTATTTTGTTTCCCCATTTTTGATGTTGCCAAAGGGGGAGAAACAAGTGGTTTGTGAGTATATTTTAAGAGTATTATGCTTTATTGTATAATTTATATACTCTTTGTGTAGATTGTTTGTCATCATCTAAAAGGGAGAGATTGTTAGGTCTCATGTTATGAGCCTACATCTTCTAATCTTGTTTTGATGATTACAAACAATTCCTAATATTGTTTGTCTAGTGTTTATGTTTCTTATTAGGTATTCTAGACAAACAATGAGTTGGAGGATGGATGGAATTGCGCATTCACGATCATATCCAACGGAGGTTGGCGGAGTAGTGGTTGAAGCCTTGCAATTCATGTTAAAGATTCAAGTCAAGCTTCATCCGCAAGTGTACCAAGATAGAGCTTCGTTGAAGATCAAGATTGCTTGGGTAATGTAGTTTCGGTTTTATATTATGTGTGTTAAGTACTTTAAGCTCATATTATTCACACACACACGTATTTGTTGATTTTATCAAAATATAGGTGTTTTTGTGAAAACACTGTTTTATTAGTTTATAGACTTTAATATCAGTTTATACATAGTTTATAAAGTTTATAAAATCATTTTGTAGAGTTTCAAAAGTTTGTTTAAATCAAATGTCAAAACATGTATGTTTCGTTTTCATGTTTTTGGACATATTTGAAAAATGATGGGTTTTCACTATTGGGGAATGCAATTCCAAAAATTCTTTTTGTAACATGTTTATTATCATGTTTATAAACATTTTCCAAAGTTTCATAATTTTTGGAATTTATTTGTTATTTTTAAAGGCACTTTAAAAATCAGTTTTCCAGCATGAACAGTGCCTGTGCATGTTTATAAGTCGACTTATAAACCCTGACAAGTCGACTTATGAAAACTCTCTGCCAAGTCGACTTATTCGAACTGTTAAGTCGACTTAGACCAAGTCGACTTATGTCATTTTCCAAGTCGACTTATGTGCTGATTTTTATGTGTTATTTTTATCTGGAAAGTCGACTCATGTGAATTTTCAAGTCGACTTATACTAAGTCGAATGAAAGTCGACTTATACTAAGTCGAATGCAAGTCGACTTATAAATATGACTGTTGAACAGTAACGGCTATTTTCCAGATCTGTTTTTGTGTGGGTTTTTGGTCATTTCTTTGGGGTTTTGGCTGATGTCTTGGGTTGTTATAAATACCCCATTGCATTTACCTCTCCCACCAACCAAAGAGAATTGTTTAAACAAGTTTAAGGGTGTTTTGTGTTTGTTTAAAAGAGTGTTTAAGAGTTTTGTTTGTGAAGCAAATTTCACAAGGCAAGTGGAGATCATCCTTAGTGTTTGAGCATTCATTCTTCTCCCTCTCTCTTGTCATCTATAGAGAAGTTTTCTTAAACTCAATTCTAGCATTTTATAAGTTTGCTCTTAATTTCATAAGCTAGATTTCATATTGAGTTTATATTGTTTTATCTCTTTGATCACATACAACCTATTGAGCTTATTGTAGGTAGGTGGTAATACCTAAAGAGAGGTTGTAATTCCTAACACTTGAGGGAGACACGGGCTAGAGACCAACACTTGAGGTGGTAGTTAGTGTAGTTACATTGTGAGTGATTGTAAAGTTTTCGGTTAGCTAGAAAACCGTATTGTGAGGTGTAAACGTTTTTCGGGTAAGCGTAGAAAACCCGATGTGATAGTGGAGATCTCCTCGAGGTGAGGAGCGGGGACATAGGTCAGGCGGACCGAACCTCGTAAACATATCGTTTTGTTTGTGTTTGCATTGGCGCACTTATTTTCATATTTATATTGCCTTTGTCAATTGCACATTGTTTATATTCCCACTATCTTATTTTGTTTGTTTCACCCTTGTATTAGTTGTATATCCTTGCATATATATCTTGTCATATATCATACTTGCTAGGATATTTGTTAATAAGTTTTAAATTAGCATAAATCGGATTAGATTAGCATAAACCCTATTCACCCCCCTCTAGGGTTCCTTCCTAGCGGTATTAGGGTACTTTCAATTGGTATTAGAGCACTTTCAGTTAAGATCCAAGCAACTTGGGGAACCCACCCTTAAAAGCTAGCTGTTAAGGGGGAAGAACCAAGCTACTTAAATCCACCCTTAAAAGCTAGCTGTTAAGGGGGAAGAACCAAGCTACTTAAATACCCCATCAAGTTTCCCATTTTACTCGATGTGGGACTTTAGGCAGCCCACCCCATCAAGTTTCCCATTTTACTCGATGTGGGACTTTAGGCAGCCCATACTACCCAAGTCCCTAACATTCACCTTCGTTGTCTCCCCTTCAATGTCGCTACCACTCCTTCTCCGCCTCTCCTCCGTATCTTTCTTTTTTCCCCTCCTCCGTCTACGCCTTTCCCCAACATCTTAGAAAAATATAGATGAAAGAGGACGACAAAGCATGCATGCGTTACTTAGAAATTAGAAGGCACTAAAACGTTGTTTTAGAAATTATAAGGCATTAAAACTTTGTTTGGAAAGGCTTATTTTTTTAAACTTATATGTTATGCTGGTTTTTAATGGCTTTTAACTTTTTTTGATAAAAATACTATAAAAATTGTTTGAGTAGAATAGTAATTTACTTGGTCAAATCTATTTTTTTTTTAAGTGAGCTTATAAACTAGTTTATTTAAAAACTGAAGTATACCAACTTTTTAAAATGAGACTTACAAACTAACTTATTTGTCATTTTACTAAATAGGTAAAAATATTAAAAAAAAACTAGTTTAAAAGCTAATTTGACTAAAAACTAAGCCATATTTGTTCCAATGAATGATTAAGACTTGACTGCCAAATGCTAAAAACACAACTTACCTTTTACTTGCCTCAAGAACAGTATCCATTTCTGAATGAAGTGACAATTCACTCAGGTGTTGTTCACATATAAATTAGGAAGAAACCGAAGAAAAAAAATGAAAGCACTTGTTCTTTCCAACATATTGGCAAGAAGAAAAATAAAAAGAAAACTAACACAAAAATCCTAGCAGAAGTTAACCAAATGGAACTGTTCACTGTTCTTTTCCCCCCTGAACATCTTCCATATTCTACATAAGCAATCAGCTACCAATTACACAATAGTCTAATAGGTGGGACCGGGGGTTGAAAAGGTGAGTAAAAGAGCCTTGCAGCCTTTATACCATCTTAGAAATTAGTTTAGAGGAAGCACTCTTGGATGAAATTATCATCCTGAGCACCAAAACATCAATTAACTATGAAAACCAAAAGCTTAGCTGTACGCCAAAAATCTCTCTCCACGTGATGTTCTTTAGGCAGAAGATGAAACCCGAGGTGTGGCGTTCTTGGAGGATCCGCTGGCAACATATGTGGAGCGGACCCCACGATCTACCCTCTGATAACCACCACCATCCCCGCCTCCACGACTTGATCCGGCCCTGCCACCTCTGCCTCCAAAGTCAGTCTTGTTACTGAAATCGCCCCTTCCATAACTCCGGCCACCACCAAAGTTACCACCACGCCCTCTTGGGCCACCTTCATTCCTGAAACCGCCCATTCTTCCAGAGAACCTACCTCTGCCGCTCACTGCAGATAGATTGGAGGGGAAAACAGAGTGATTAATACAGATTGATATGTGGCACAACTGGTATTATCCTCAATTGCTGTGAAAAAAGATCTTACAAAACTAGCGGAAAGCACTTCTGACCATTAGTTACAACCTATTGTTGTTGGTTTACCAGCTATCTATCGCCCAATTGTGGATGGACACCCTCTAGTTCTATTGTAGCAGATAGATCCCTTGAATGAACTTTTTTAACTCATTTATCCTCAGAGAAAGAGAATTATTTTTTGACAAATAAACCTCCTTGTTGTAGGAGTCAAAAAAAAGGTACATATATGCAGCAATAGAACTAAGGGGGTCTGTCCGCAATAGGATGATAGTACAGGGGGTCTATCTGCAATTACCCATTCTTGTTTCACACTTTGCAATACCAGTTTTGTTCAAATTTTTTAATTTTCAGTCAAGTGTGATCGTACACAGGAGTGGTGGTGAAATGTTTGGCTTCAGTGTTGGTTACTGTTGTCTTTCCGGATGTGGTGGCTTGCTGTTTTAGTCCCGCCCCCCCCCCCCCCCTCTTTCTATTATCTGTCATATAAGAAGCAAATTATCTGTCTGAATGAAATATATCAAAATTCAATAACCTCAAGACTGGCCAACAAACAAGCAGAAGAAAAACCATGGTTGTTAATAAAATTCTATGACTATTGAGTAACTCGTTTGGCTCGCTTTCTGAGTCCTTGCTATCCTCAAGTCCCTTATAGAAAGGGTTTCTTTTTGCATCATTTTTTATGCATACCCTTTTTCCTACTTCGAAAAGAAGAAATGATAAAATATACCAATCAGAGCAATGGTAGTGTTGCTCATCTTGGTAGCAAGTCATCCAGCAGAGTAATCAAATGGGGTTTTCTAGGCCCATTTGCATTCCATGAACAATCTTTGCTAACTCCATTCACATAGGTCCACATAGAGACTGTTCTGATCGATGAACTTAATCTAGCTCCAATTACATGAAGGCTTGTTTGTTGTAAATAGAGTACATAGTGTTTGGTTTGAGGAACCTCTATTGCAACTCCAACTTTAGTAGGTGCAAAACTGGTGTTTCCTTTGTTACATGAGTAAAGAGTAATTTTACAAAGGAAAAAAGACATCATGGGCTGATGTTGCAGGCCCCTCTACATTTTACCCTTTTCTAACGTGTGCAGTTGAAGTTACGATGAAATGGACGCAACTCCTATTGCCGGAAAAGGACCTCAAAGGGGACTTCTAACTGCTGGAGATGCATTTTTACGCAACTCAAATCGTAGCGAATCATACACATATAATATAGTTTGTTGCAGTGGAAGCGGCTCAGCACATGACCAGGTTTCTTTTGGTTTAAATTCATACTTTGTCGTCCATTCTAGTATTCTACAGTGTCATTAAAATTGGTTTGGCATTTCTTTTAGGTGTAGGTAATTATTGATATATTTTTAAGCTATTGAATTGTAGATCCACACAAAGAAAAGGAACATGCTGGATAGAAAGAAGTTAAGCAATCTAGTCTGTGCAATTCAATTTTGAGAAACAGAACCAAAATGGATACACAATTCAAATTTGAGAAACAGAACCAAAATGGATACACAATTCAAATTTGAGAAACAGAACCAAAATGGATACACAAATCAAATTTGGGAAACAGAACCAAAATGGATACAAACAAGGAGGGATGGAAAGAAGAGGGATATCCTCCTTGCTAAAGATGTTAGACACGCTGCTCCATTGTTGGTTAATGATGATGATGAGTAAGACATGACTTTTGAGTCCTTTGGCCTTTGTTTTGTTTAGCTTTAGACTTGAGACTTTAGACATGTATTCAGAGTTCGATCCTTACTAGTTAAGATCTATAGACTCATGTTATCTATTATGATATTATTTTAGTTTTGTTCATTTTTTTATGCTTGACGATTTATGTTAAGATTTGAATGGTTAATACTTAATAGTTATGCTACTACAGGTCAATGTTTTTATGCTATTGTTGAGAATTTTTTTATTAGAGGAACTTGAAAGTTGAAAGAATGAGATAGGTAACACTCTTTTTGATAAACAGGTATGTCTTTTCATTCTCATATAAGTTTTCCTTATCTGTACAGTATTTTATTAATACTGTATGATTGTACCAACTAGGTCTTTATAAATTATCAAATATGCATTTGCATAGATTTTCTAGAAATTTTCTTATTCCTTTGAATTTTATACAAATTTAAATTGGACCGCTCTTTTTTTGGCGCTTTGCTCCGCTTTTCCCGCTGAAGCCCTAAAAAGCCTAAGCAGTGCCTCACCGCTTCGCCCTGACTTTCTGCTTTCCACAACCTTGAGGCAATACTTGTCTACTCATTAATTTCTGTTAGTATTTGTGTTTTATCTTTAGAATTTTTCCCTTCAATTTGTTAGTAGTCACAAATGTTGAGTGAACTGTTTGCTTGACCATTGTGTACTTCAAAAACTTGAAATGCAAAGGACAATTGGCGTCAAACAGGCATCTAAAGCTTGTATCATCTAGAGGTCAAAAACCCTAATAGCTTACTCTAGTTATCCTTATCCGAACTGCTTGCTTGACCATTGTGTACTTCAAAAACTTCAAATGCAAAGGACAATTGGCGTCAAACAGGCAATTAAAGCTTGTATCATCTAGTGATAAAAAAAACCCTAATAGCTTGCTCTAATTATGCTTATCCATCATATTTTCATATCATTTGGATCATTCATCGGAGCAAATTTTGAAGAAATTGTGTTCCTGCAATAAATTGATTACCTGCCATGGCAGTTAGGTAAGCATCAGACTATTTCTTATCCACTGGTGTTAAGAAACATGTTGATAATTCATTTGAGTTTAGTTCATTCTGCTGTATGGCTCCATGTTAAATACATTCAAAAGTTTAGATACCTCATCAGTTATTAAGATGATTATCATCGATAATTATCAGTTTAATTAGCTTTATCAAAAGAACAAATCGCTCTGAAGTGCTTTTGAATATTTCAAAAATTTTGATCACTGTTGAAAAACCAGTTTACTATTTAATCCATACTTTGTTAACCAATAATATAAATAATTATTTAGTTCAAATTCTACACACTAAAGTGCTTTCGAATATCTCAAGATTTTTGTTCTCCGATGAACAACATTTTATTATTTCATCCATATTCTAAGAATTGATAGTGTAAATAATTATTTAGCTTGCCAATCTATGCACTTTATAACCCTTTACCACCTAAATATTTAACATCAATGCAATGCTTATAGCTTATTATTTTAGAAGCGCTCATTTGATTTTGATGTCATATTACATATTCTTTATAGTATCTACAACGTTTTACAAAACCTACATCTAGCCCGCCAAGGGCCATCCTCCTAAGTCAATACCTAGACTACCAACCTAGGTTTTGAGAGTGTCTAGGAGAACGTGGGCCACATACGTAGGCTACATCTTTTAGACATTGATCGTGATTTCTCTCGTTGCAGTCTTCATATCATCCAACCTCCTCCAAACTCCTCCAACCTTCAACTACACCATCTCTACCTCCTCTGACTTTTAGCAAAACCTCCATCACCACTTAATCAAAGAAAGAAATCCGCTTAGGCGCCAGTTCGATGCTTGCGCTTTCTATAACATTAGCTTTTATTATCAATTATTATAATTAAAAATAAAAAGGCAAGTAGCCTAGCCCCACCTAAGCATAGGGTCAGCACCTTGCTATCTGTAACTTTGTAACTTTGAGTATCCATATACTAATCTCTTTCGTTACCACCTAAAATATTTGATTTTATGTTTTCCTTATCCATGATAAACTAGATGAATCCTAGCATTCTTTAGAATATCTTTATAGGTTATGTTAGAACTCAAGAAGGACGTAAATGTATGATTACAAGCACTTTGTGAGTTCTATTGATGTCACTTCCTTTAGGCCCAAATGTTATTTGGAAAATAAGTCTTCAACCTTATAGTCCAAAGATGATTTTATGTATTTTCTTGTGAACTATACTCAAATAATTTGTTTAGCCATCATTCTCCTAGTTCTGGAATTTTTGCTACCGTTGACACAGGAAAACACCTAATATTAATATCTAGTAATAATGCTACCTATTCTTGTAGGAATACTACATATGTATTTGATTCTGAGTCACAGTCTGGTTATAAAAAATGCAAAGCTTAAATTAAGTTTGTGCATCATGTGAGAATGCAATATTTAAAACTCGTTATTTTCTAAACCCCACGCCTTCGTTTGATGTTGATATTCGATCACATGTTCTTTATAGTATCCACTAATCTCTTCTGTTACCACCTAAAAGATGGAAATTTATGATAATATGTTTCTGAATATCTTCCTTTTATATCATTTGGTAAACTCTAATAATGTTCTTCAAAAAAGTTGGTGAATTTTAATTTGTATCTTGAAGTTCTCCAAGAATTTTAATTATTTTTCTTCATGAATTCCACAAGTTCTTCTCCAGTATTAATCATCTTCTTTATCTCTACTCGAAAATACTTGGAGCATGTTTGACTACTACTTATTATTTGATAACTTAGAAGTTACTTATTACTTATTTTCAAAACTCCTTATAATGAGATAAAAAATAAATGACGCATTTGGTATAACCCTTGACTTCTAAGGATGAAAGTGTAGTTATGTGTTTGGTAAACCGATAACTTATAAGGTTATGATAGTTATCAAATGACCAAAAAGAACATCTTGTTGAATCTCATATTGTAGCTAACTAATCAAATTATATAGTACACAGGTAATTACTATTAGTAAATTTATTAATTAATTAACTATGTAAATAATAACAACCAATACTTCACATTAATAAGGTTATTAGATATTAACATTTGATCAAATTAATTAATTTATAATAAAAAAATTATTAGTTATGGTTGTTATTTACTAATATTGACATTATTTAATTAATTCTTTATTAATTAAATAATAATTTAATAAAATTATTAATTATTAGTTAATTAATTTTATTATTTCATCGTTAATTAAATGAATCAATAAACAAATAATTGATTAATATTGACACTATAAATTAATTTCTTATTAATTAAATAATTACTACTTAATTAATTAAATTTATTATTTAATATATTAATTAACTAAATAATTACTTAAATAAGTAATTAAGTATATAATTAATTAATTAATATTGATACTATCCAATTAACTATTTTCTTATTAATAAAATAATTATTATTTAATAAACTAATAACTATTTAAATTTATTATTTCATAAGTTTATTATTTAATTAAATGATTAATTAATTAATTTAGATTGGAAACTATATAATTAATTTATTATTTTTTAGATCCACTATAGACTGATAAGGGATTTAAGGGTATTTTGGTCCTTTAGCCTACATAAGGAAAACTCCTTATAAATAGCGAAAAAATAAGTTGCAATTTTCAAACTTATGTTTTACCTATTTATAAGTAAGAAATAAGTGAAAAAGTTAACTCTCAAGAAAGCAAGGCAAAAGTGGTCCTCGCCGCTCCACTTTTATCAAAAGTGGATGTGGACCTTTCCGCTCAACAACACTTAAGAAAGCTTGTAAAGCACTGATAAGCGCTTTTAAATGCTTAACAGTGCTTTAATGAAATAAATATGGGTTTATAGTATACCCAACATGAACCCGACTCAATTTCTTAAGTAAAATCATCTGCTTCCCTCTCTTTTCTCTGCTTCTACACTTGAGACAAAAATAAATCCTAACAAATTCTCACTCGAGCCACCTCATCCACTCCCCTCGAGCATCTCCGCCACCTCAAGCCACGATATGTGCGCCCAAATCTGCCTTCAAATCCTTCTCCAGCAAGCTCCACATTCACCATCACAATTATGGCACCACCTTCTCTTGAGCTCCTCAACAAAGCTCACCATCACCTTCTCCGATCGAAGCTTATGATCATCATCACCATCTTCTATCAAAGCTCACAATCATTGTCACCATCTCCAGTTGAAGCACCTCCACCACCTTATCTAGTACAAATCTACTTTTTTACTTACTGTTTTTTGCTGCTTTATGCCGCTGAAGCCTTAAAAAAGCCTGAGAGGTGCGTCCCTGCTTAGCTCCGATTTCACTTTCCACAACCTTGCTTGTGAGTTGGTTTGGGTACAAGATTGATTGGGTAAACTAGGTTTTGCAATCTTATGCTACTATACTATAATAATCATATTGTTATTCACATTGCATAGAATTGTATATTTCATGACACAAAAAACACATTAAAAAGGATTGTCATCTTAGCTGGAAAAAGGTGACAAAAGACAATACATTAAAAATATACATTTGATGCACTAACCAACTAGTAATTTTACTCACCAACCCCCAAGAAAGATCACAAGTTTAGTTTTCGAGTGCTTCTAAGTCTCCTTTCAATGTATTTTGAGGGAAAATCGCTTCAAAGAGCAAAAAAAAAGTAATTATCCCTAGAAACATACATCACATCACATGAAGCATAACCGATGTGTGCATTTCATGGCCCCATCAAGGACTTAAACTAAAATTCCCCCCTTTCTTCATTTTCTTTTATTGAAATTAGAAAAAACAAAGCAATTATGTTATCTAATGATACTTCTTTTGTGCGGTGAGGGGAAAAATTCCTATGCTAATCCATATTATTATCCAACAATACTGAACTTTAGATTTTTTTTCCTTTCGTTTTTTTTTTTTTGGTATCTAAATGGGTCTTATATTTTGTCTCTAGCATTCAACCTTCTCTCTTTTTGTGAGTCAATGTTTATTCCCTTGTTCGTCTGAACTTTTGATCAGCACAACAGTTAAGTTCTTATTTTCTAATAAGAAACTGTAACTTGAGGCCATGTATCATCAATATGTCCGTTTGACTAAACAATATAGATGTCTTATTAGCTTAACTTATTATGCTTTGCATTGGTAAATAGAATATCTAATTACTATTCAGTGTCCAAGATCTGAATGTCAGGTTGTAAATTATTGTACCACTATAAACTATGCGTATAATATTTAGAAAACTTAAAATTACAATATAATTAATTGTAAGACTTAATGTTACGAAAGGATCCAAAGCTTCACCCTGCACTCCTGCCTTTTTAAATATTGATTAGAAGTGATTCAAGCTTTTCGTAAGAAGAAAAATAATATAAATAAGAGGATGTGATAATAATTTGACTAGCTTTTCTCAGTAAAATATAAGTGTCATGTTGAACCCATGTTGAAAAAAGTGAAAGCGCAAGGCGAAGAGTAAAGACCCTTTATTGAAGTGAGGCATAAGCTTCAAAGCTTGAGGCGTACACCCCATGAGTTTAAGCAGTTAATTTTAAAATCTATAAAAATTATGAACATATAATATATAGTGGTATAATAATTTATAAATAAATACATTAATGTCTCAATTAAAAAATAAGAATTAAATATGAGCATAGACACAAATCACAATAAACTGAGCACTCACAGTTTAGCTATGATTTAAGCGATGAGGCATAAGCTTCAAGGGATAAATAGCTTCACTCTTAAGTTTTGAAGCATTTACCCCATAAAAGGTTTGAAGCAAGTTTCCAAAAAAACTTGTTCAAACATTGTGTTGAACTAATTGTAGGGTCATGTTAGCTTAAACAAGTTCATAACGTATGGAATTTAATCATTATCTTTAATTCCTAACTTCACGTCAGTAATAGACCATCAAAATTAATTTAATGTTGTACAACAACATTCCCAGTAAAACAAGTGACATAATAAACTAATTGTAAGGTCATGTTATCTTATACTAGTCAATAAGGTGTGGAATTTATAGACAATTTTAAAACATACCTCGTGCACCAGCAGGCCGCTTTTCTTCAACAAAAGCTTGGCAGCCACTAATCATTACAGGCGAAGCCTGAAAAATAAAAATTACTTGTTTACTAAACTATAAAAAAAATTTACATCATAGCCAATATAACAATATTTTAGAATTACAAACAGATGAAAAAGCATAATTAGCACTTCAGAAAACAAGTGTGAAAAGCGCAAGGACATAACAAATAGAAGAAAAAAAATGTAAAGTGCAGAAAAAGATTATAACAATACAAGAAGCAGAAAACAAGAATAACAGCGGCTTTATTGTTTTCCAATACACACATTCACAAAATTTCATTTTATCCCCTAGTTATGTACCGCTGTTAAATGGATCATTAAGCAGCTCTAATTTTCATATGGAGATCTTTTCACGAATACTTATCACTTTTATTCGATGGAGATGTTTTGTTTGTTGAAGTCAAAAAGAAGAAAATATTTCAAGTCGTTGTAGATATAAGTCTCTCAAAAAACTTGACACTTAACATGCCAAGCGCGCAAATAATCATTACAAGATATGATGCTACACTACAAACAAAAATTCAATATTTCCTCCTAATTCTAAGCTACTTAGACAATCAAGAAAACTCAAACACAGTTCATCTTTCGGTTAGCTGTCAAAGAAAATATTGTATTAATTAGCAATTGAAAATATGGAACACGTCAAAACTGTAATTATATTTTAGTGGCACATGAAAAATGTAAGTTTCCCTATCCATGTGCCTGTCTACATTTGATCCATAGAGACACAAGATTTGCAAAATTTGACAGCTTAGATTTGGCTAAGTGGGTAAAATGGGCCATAATGGGTAATGAACAACCATTATTAAGTAAATACAGTCAACTCGTACGTGACCTATACTCGTATACATTGAGCCATAACCTTTACCAGAGTAAAATTGAATCAAGGGGCTAGATAATAATTGTGACCCCTAGTGCACATGGAATCTTATTTTCTCTATATTTATTACTTTTATCTAGGATGATTCAATGAACAATTGCACAGATGCTAAAAGATGTTCTTCTAAGTGCTATGAACTATATATGCGATTGTATTTAAATCCTTCTTTTTTAAGTTAGAGAAGTGCGAGGAAAGAAATCATTTGCTAGGGCACTGACCACGGAATCAAGAAGTAGTTTGATTATAATCCAGGTAATGTAATTTCTATATTTCTACTTGTTTGGTGGTTTGAATTATTTGGTGTATTCACATATCTTGGGAGTACACAACATGTTGTATATTAAACTTGAAACATCAAATATAGTTAATTAATGATATTTACATGTTAATGATCGTCCTTTGATGCAGATGATGGACATCAAGCTCCTCAGATTGACAAACTGCTCCTGTGGATGTGAAAGGAACTGGAGCACGTTCATAGGGTAAACTAATACTCAAGCTTCATCAAAAATTTTAAGAAGCTAATGTTTTTCAAAAATCATTTTATTGTGTATATCAACTTGATTTGATTGATTCTTGTTTTCACATTAGAAAAGGTAGATTGGAGAGTAGAAGATTGTTGAACCTTGCATATGTAAAGTTCAATGCAAAGACCAAGAAAGAAGAGAAGAGGGGAAGGCAATAACTTCCTCCTCCTGAAGGATCATAACAAGGCCAAGGATGGCTTCTTAAAGGAGCAAATTTCGATGATGTAGCCCCTGGATTGGGTCTTACTATGAATGATGATATTGAAGGGTTTATCGGACGAGACGCTGTCAACTTCAAGAATAATGTGACAGATAACTAGAAAGAAGATTACATGGACTCCAAGGAGGATAGTGATGATGCAGAGTGAGGGCTGTGATGAAGAGGAAAAGATGACCTCTCCACTTCTGAGTTATGAATTATACTACTTTTGATGAAACATGACTTGTTTATTCTGTTCGCATTTTATTACATAATTTATATAGTTTATTATGTGTGGCTGTGGACTATTAGACTTGTTGAATTGCTATTTGTCATTGACTACGACATAAGCTGTATCTTTCTAAATTTTTATCGTGAAATTGCGTAAGGTAATGTCGTTTGGATTCATGTCCATAGCCGCAATAAGATTTGAGGACAAAATTCTCAATTAGGTTAAGCCTGCATGTAGATAACAACGTACAGAGAACCACTGAGCAGAGCGGGATTAACCTGAGGGCTATTGCTGCAAATCTGAATCCAATTTCACTTTGGATCTTAATCAGAAGATCTTGTCTTAAAGGTTTGGCAGGTTAATTGAAGGTGTATGGCATCTAGGATTTATGAAAGTGAAAGGTTTAAGGTGTAATAGAAATCCTAGGGAGATATTATGCTACTTATAAAATTAGTAAATGAGATTATCATTTGTCAACAAATTAAGTCTCAGTAAAGGTAGAGACCTAACCACCACCAAGAGCTGGTGGCTTTGGTACCCGTTAGAACTTGGTGGATAGAAGGAAATTTTAAAACCATACAAAGTTTCATAAAGCATATACTATATGCTTTATAAAACTACCATAAACTTTGGGTTTCACAAAACTATCATGAACTTTGGAGGGTTTTGCATAAAACTACCATAAACTTTTTTTTATTAGAACACAGCCATGAACCATCAAAACTGTAGAACAAATTACATGTACAATTGGAAACTACTGTCAACAACATTGACAAAGATAAAAGGTTTAAACTACCTTTGAAAATAAAACATGGGAAGAGAATACTATTGAAAATATATAAAGTACTAAGAAAAATTGTCCAAAACATGTCACGAAGCATGTGAAAACTTAACGGTCGCTAAGCATGATTGTGTAGTGAAAAAGTTCATGGTATTTTTCTCCAATAAAAAAGTTTAACCCAGCAAAGTTCATGGTAGTTGAGTGAAATTTATGAATATACACACACAGATCATACACACATACATATTATATCATCACCAAAGTGAATTTTACTTAAAAGTACAAATCATTCCTCCTCATATAAAATGCCAACTATGACTACGAATCATACACTTAACAAAAATAACCAACTAATCCACAAACCCAAACCTAAATGCACCCATTAAGATATCAACCAGAATAGAATGAAGTACAAGGCTTGATTGAGATAAGTCATCAACTTACTCCATATCAATCCAAGAATTAATTGCTCGAGATTGACAGATCCAGAAAACAACAGTAGCCAAAGATATGATTCTCGTTTTAAAAAAATGAATCTCCTAACCTAAAACACCCATCAAAATATAGCTGATATCCAATCAGGCTTCTTTTACGCTGGGAATTTCACAATAGTAGTCAAATGAGGAAACTGAACCACCTAACAACAATTAATCTTCTCAATTGTGAACTTCCCAGAGAAAAGTAAGTCTTATTGGACACCAAAGAAGGAAGTTGAAGGAAAAAGCAAGAAATGCTTAGAAATGACATGTTCGGTGGAAAGTTTGAAGAGGAATGACGTATCTAAAGTGCTCTAACTGATCCCGTAGATGAAAAAAGATACAAGATTCAGGATGAATACAGGTAAAAGATGGAAGAAAAGCCAAACATAGTGTGAGATTTGCAATCACAATACTGATTTTATACCCATCACCGATCCTCAATTACAATTTCTTTCATTATTAATTGCAATATAAGGACAGGGGAGCTGGGTGAGACTTTGATTCATTGTTGATCAGCATAAGGACTCAGATTTAAGGCACATTAAGTGCGGCAGAAGTCATCTTATCGCAACTTCGGGGAGTGTTATCACCTGTAATAGCTCTTTAGTGTTCTGAGACCATGTTAATGAGTCAATGTGCACAGATGTAGGTGATGCATGTCAGTGAGTCAATTACGAAGCTCGTGATAGTAGCTAACTTACGTAAGCATCAACAGTTTGAAACTTTGAATAGCGTGTACTCAGCAAAGACACATACATCAGTTGTTCTGTTGAATAGACCTTTGATCTATCAATAAAGACGGGTATGTATTTGGACATGGATATAGTGTCACCAATAGCTGTTTGCCTAATAAAAAATGAGGACAATAAGACTATTAATGTGTTCGTACTTTCTTGCGAATTTACATTTGTATGTGTTTGAATTGCGCCTATGTTTAAAGAGTTTAAGCTGCATGACCAATTTTTCTAGCCATGAATGGATGTGATGTTAATCTCCTGCATGTCCATGGTTTTCTAGGCTAAATTTGGTACCAATCAGAAGATGATGCTAGAGCGGTACCTTGTCGGGGAAATGTTTTACGAACCCATGCGCTTCCTAGCATATCCAATTTTCATGGAAAAAGACTTTGACGATACCAATGAAAACCTTGATGAGATAAATACAGTTCTGAATCAATAGCTGTATGTCAAAGATAGTTTTATTTAATCCAGAAAAAATTATGCACAAGGGCAAACTTTTTAAATGTCAAACATGGATTTGTAGGTGGCAGCACCAATTTTGAGATGAAGAATTAACAACTATACAAGCAATTTTTTCCCCAGTGCAAGAATGTTGTCAAAAATCCGTCATTCATCATTTGGCTCATCTTAAACAGATGAGCATCATTCTCTGCAATCATTACGGAGATTGACTAGTAGCATCCTTAGCTACTATTTCACAGTTGTATTGACCTGATTTTGATCTGCTCAAGCTAAAACCAGTTGGAGTTGGGATAGACATTAACTTTTCATTTCTCTTTAAGTTCCTTTTTTAAACTGATGCAATTAATTGTACGCCATCCAATTAATGTTGTAGAATAGAATATGTAATTATGATAATAGAGCCCAACATAACACAACAATACCAGGGTAAAAAGTAATAATGTAAAATGGAGGTTCAAACAAGAAAATGGTGCAACTATAAGTCTACAGTTACAGTCATAGTATTATAAATATTTAATAGATATTTCTTTAATGGGGGTGAGTACATGGTTTTCTAGACTAAATTTGTTAGTTAACTCTAAATCAAATAGATATTTCTTTAATGGGAGGTGAGTACATGAGAGATACTTTTATGTAAATTTACCTCTATTGCACTCTGGACAGAAGTAACAGTCTCAAATTCTATGAAACCAAAACAGAATCCTTGTTGCTGCAATTTAAATCAAGCCAGAATTAGACAAGACAGAGAATAGATGACTTCTTCGATATAGAAAGAAGCATAGTGACAGTAGGAACAATAAAGAACCTTATGGCTTCTAACTTGTATGCCACCAGGCTTAATAGGACCAAACCTCCTGAACTCCTCTTCAAGATGTTCAGGCGTCGCGTTTAGTGGTAGTCCTTTTATGTATACTGAATGGCCATCAGCTGAAAATATGAAGCTTTGCGGCTGTCATAACTATTTTCAAAGTCAATGAAGTTTATTTGATATTTTTTGGGACAAAGGGTACAATTATCACCTTCAGATTCTGGGACACTGCTGGTTTCTGGAGCATTTGAACTGACAGCAGAAATGTCAGGTAAAGGAGCTTGAGTAGGAGCAGGGGCTGCCTGTCTTTCTGGTTTGGAGGGTATAGCCTTAACCGGAGCAGGTGCAGAAACTGACGAAGGGACGACATTCTCTTTCATGAGTTTTAACTACATCCAAACAGCCATCAAGTCATCAGCATTAATTATCTAAAGTCTCTTCATGGTATAATTTACATAAGAGATTAAAAGTGTTCATACTAGGGGAGATAAGTAGTACAATATACTAAATTTTCCTCATGCAGCCAACATATGGAAGTTATATATTCGTAACATTCAAAAGAAACTCTTCCATAGGATAATATGAGCTATACAAACTTCCACAGAAATGAATTTTTTATCTGTTAACAAATTTAGAAGTATAAATAAGTATCTTATATATGGATGGTTATATCTATATAGTTGAGCATGAAGCTTCGAATTTCCAAATAAAAACTTTTATAAAATTTTAGTGGCCAACAAAGCATTTACTGTCTTATATTAAATGGTTGAAGTATTAATGGAAATAAAACGAAGAAACAAATAAGGAGTTCAAATGAACGAGGAAAAACCAATACTACAAGAAAGCACATAACAAAATTCATACATTATCTCAAAGCTTGAAATATCTCAAAAGACAAAAACTCTGAACCTGGGATTATGTTATCCTGAAACTTGCTTCGCAAAAGATAGTAAGCTAAATACCAGAAAGAGAGAGAGAGGAAGGGAGGGGGTGGAGTCGCGGGTGGGGAGAAGTTATCAATCATTATGACAAATATGTTACACTGACTATTTCACAACATATACAACTTAATAAATGCACGGATGTAAGTGGAAAATGCAGTTGAACTTCTACTCAGGCAATTGACATTATCATCATCTTAGTTAAGAGTGCATTCACTTGACCAACTAATTAGTTGAACATATAGGAGATCTGCCTAAAACTGGTCTAGTAAACCTGTTAAGCCTATGCTGCACTCTGCACTTGGAAAAGACAACAATTTACAAAATTATTATTGAAATTTTATTAAGTAGTAAAACATTAATGTTTCAATTTTATTCTTCCAGGAAGATTACTTGAATAAAAATTATACTGCTTACTCCCTCCAAAGAAGAGGAAACTGCATTAAGGTTTGACCTTCCACCTGCCACGGGAAGTCAAACTAATTGGACACAGAGGTAGGTATAACCACCAGAACGTGATAGAATGCCCACATAAAGGACATGCATAGCCTATTACCATATAGCCTAATGACACATAACCTAGAAAAAATTGAAATCTCGCAAAAGGACCAAAGGTCTAGGACCCATTAAACAAGCCCATCAACTTCACTTTCCAATGGTTTGGTCCTCATCAGATGGGATGTAAACTAATCTAATGTTTGATGATCCAAAAGGATCTATCACCATTGGGAACTTAACTGGTAAGTAATATAAAAAGACAGTTCCAAAGCAACTACAAATTAGAAACACAGACTTACAATTGAAGCATATGATTTCTTTGGTGCCTCTTCCTGAATAGCAGTAGAATCATAATTTGCTGCCAATGCCTGTGAACTGTTTGGAACTTCATCTTCGACCTCACTTTCCGGTGTTTCCTCCTCCACAACTGGGTCCTCATCATGCTCCGAAGGGTTATGAACTTCTTCAATTGCATTCTCTTCTTCTCCAATCACATTCTCCTCTGGTGGCAACTCAGATTGTTCGTGAACCTGTTCCTCGAGTGGCTGTGGAGCCTCTGCAAGCGAAAAGAAAATAGTAAATTAAGGATGTACTTAGAGCACATTATTTTAGATAGTATGTCCCGAAACATACCTTGTTCTATTGTGCAAGGAGCAACAGCTCCATTTGCCACATTGCCATGTTGTTGGTCAGTCTCATCCAGATATCTACGAATGTCATTCAGGACAAAGTATCCTTTGTCCTGGGTGGCAAGGAAAAATGACTGCGTGAAGTTTCTCCTGATATTGTCCTTCCCAGTAAGGTACCCAGTCACCAGGACAAGCACCCCACCATCGACCGATTCTTGGGCATCCACCGTCTTTATCTCAGCCATCAATCCACCGTCGTCCGTTGAAGTTATCTTCTCATCTATTGCCTTCAATCATCATTTGCAATATGTGACAGGAAAATAAGATCACATTGAGATAGAAGTACAAATGGGTACAAAGATTTCATTTCTTTGAAGATTCTCGGTCCTGTTCTGGAGTTGTAGCTGTTAATAGATAGCTTGATATTAGGTTTGAGTTTATATTGTTTTCTTTCTTTCTTTCTTTTATATCTGATTTTTATAAGACTTCATACAAGTAAAAATTACAACATGTGTCATGGCTTTTTCTCTAGCTCCATACCAGAAAGCAAATAAATAATAAACCACAAGGTTTAAGTTTTTTTAGTTTGTTTCCACATTGAGTCTCACAATTTACTCTAAAAGAAACTTAGATTTCCCATCACATCACTCATTTCTATAATATAAGTAAGTGAATTAACCTTATATATGTGAATGGCTCAAACCAATTAGAAGTTGAACATCAAAATCATTGATTTATTATCTACTTACAGCTCATTTTCCTATTCTGCTTGTCCAATCAAAAAGAAAAAGCGAAAAGGAAGCAAACTTAAGCTAATGAAAAGGATTGTATTTTATCAACTTCGTTCCTCTATTTTCTTCACTTTTCTTTTCCATCACTTTCTGAGAAAGCAAAAAAAACATCCAACAAGTTCGACCTCAACAATCTGATATATCTAATCCCCCATGTGTTCTAAACTGCAACATTCATCTTTCCAAACATGAAAAGAATACCCTTAACACGCAACCAACCACATAATGGGACGTAACAAAATCCAAATTATAGAAGTTGACATAAAGAAGGGTTTTTTGAGATTCTCATCTATCTTGAAAGAAGTTTTTAAAAGCCCATTAGTTACTCCAAACTAGTCCCTCTAGTTTAAACCTGTTAGTTTGACCCCAAACAAAAGTATTATGGCAGTTAGTTTTTCTATTTTCCCGCTCAAGCTCCATATCCCAATTCTAGTGGTCATGAAAAACTAACTAACACCCCATCAATCATTTTCTCTCCATTAATTGCTCTAAACAAACCCAAACAATAAATTTGATATCAAGCAGATTACTCAGTCTCAACATTCAATCTTTCCTCCTAGGCGAAGTTTTGTGGCTAAAAAACCAAGAATCAAGAAAAAAACGGACAAAATTAAGATGAATCCAATGATACGCAACAACAGCATTCCCTCCAAATGCTTACTTGAAGAGTAGTGATGGAGCTCATATCGCCCTGACCCTCGGGCCGGCCGAGCTTGCTATTGTCCTGATAGAATCGATGCACGTGCTCTGGCGAATTATACAAGATATTGTAGTACTGCTGAACAAACGCATTCCCCACCTAATAATTTTTCAATCCAAACAAAATAGAAGTATAAAAACGAAAAATTGACAGAAATTATTCCCAAATTTTTCAGAGAAACCCTAAACGGGATCGAGATTGCTTACAACTTGAGGGGGTGGAGGAGATCCAGCTGCTGCCTGCTGCTGAGATGCCATTGCAGGGAGTGAGATCGCAAGAGAATCGACCGAAAAAGATTGGAGAGGCTAAGGTTCGGGTAATTGAGAAGCTCAGGAGCGCTAGATTTCTTCGATCGGAATCAAATCGGAGCTCGCTAGGGTTTTCGAATTCGGATCTGAGAGAAGGAGACAGGGACTGGGCTCCTTTTGTTGGGTTTTACTCTTGTGCCCTTTTTTTAATTTTTTTGTCATATTAGACCCCACACATCTTCGTATTTCGAAATTAACAAAATTTTTTATCTTTTCTATTTCTATTTCTACTAGTTTTTATGCGTGTGCAGTGCACGTGGCAAAATATCAAAATATTTTTTTATATTTATTTTATTGCTATAAATAAGTCTGATTCATCTTAAGTTCAAATATGTAAATTAAATTATGAGATTTACTATTATTTTTATTTAAATATTATTAAAAATCAATATAATGGATTTTTAAACTAAACTGAGATGAATATACCTAATTGGGATATTGTAATTGTCATTATGAACTATATTTATAGCAATAAAGAAATCGTATTTCTTATTACATTGAAAATAGAATTGCACAATATTTTTGGATATTATAAGCTTAACTCGGACATCTTAATTGATTTCTTAAGAAAAAATATAAGTTGACATAATAATATCTTCAAGTAGAATAGTAAAAGGAAATAAGTCAAATTAATACTTTATGTCATATTCTAAACTCTAGTAATCCCAAGATATAATATAGATTCAAGCATGAATAGCAATATCATTATGAATTAATGTTCTAGTAAAAAAGAAACTACATTTCTTATTACATTGAAAATAAAAGTGCACAACACATTGGGACATTATAAGCTAATGCTTTATAATAAACAATATTACGAAACCATAATAATCATATAAAAATGAATTGCAAGGAATGGTTCCGAGATACATCTTCTTACATGAGATAATAAAAATCAACACATACAATAATATGCATTATTGAAAAGCAGTATGATTTGAGCAAACCCATAAAAAATTTATAATGAAACTCAAAGAAACATGAAGGTTTTAATCAAGTGCGCATTGCAGAACATTGCAGTCATAGAGTAATTGTCCAAAAGCAGTAAGATTAAAGCAAACCTATAAACAAATTTAGATCGAAGTCGATGAAACATGAAGATTTTAAACAATTACACATCGTAAAACTTTACAATTAGAGAGTAATTGTCCAAAGGTAGTAAGATTAGAGTAATCCTATACAGAAATTTACAATGAAATTTGAAGAACAAAACATACTAATTACAGAAAAGACAAGGAAATTCACCTATAATTGTCCAAAAGAAGTAATAAAAAGACAAAAACTAAATAATAATGGTAAATATAGTATAATTTTATGTGATGAAAGCAATCACATAAGCATACAAAACTACTAATAATGTTGTATGAAAATCCCTTATAAAAATTCATAATTCTACTCAAAAATTAAGATATGATATAAAATGATCAAAAAATTATCATCCTTTATTATTTTTGTTTCATATTATAATTGGATCGAGATTAATCTTTCTCCACCTTTATCTTTTTCCTAGATACTTCTAGAGTAGCATCTTCATCATCTATATCGATTGTAATATCAGGCTGGAGGTGGATTTCTTGTGCTATTATATTTCCTTCGCCTCGTTCATCTTTTGTCTTTTCATCTAACTTCACCATGAATTTGAACGTTTTTTCCGATGTTCAACACAAATTTCTGGAAATATGGACTCTGGTTATTTTTCTGTTTCAATGAGAATAAAGTTAGTTTTATATATATGAAACTTTTTTGATTTTCTAAATTATTACTTGAATAGAGTAAGGAATTACCTCATTTTTTCGTAATGAATTTTTCTGTAGTGCATCTAATAAGAGCTTCTGCTGCATCAAACAGTGTTACTCTTGCATTACCTGTGCTATTTTCCACGAGAATCTTAACTACGTACATGTAGTTTTCATTGTTGATTTCTAGAGATAGTTAATATTGTTAGACTGGTTATCATTCTTGCATGCATCATGGTTTTATCGTCTAGAATAATATAAAATTAAAATAATATATTTCAGTTATAACTTAGCATTTTCATGAGCAACATGGAATAATCAATCAAGCATAAACAAACACATTATACAAATTTGTGAAGCTGATGACATGGTTCATAGTATCAATTGTCCAAAATAAAACTGACCTATAAGGAAATCAAAAAATGCCCTCTTGTTTCAGTTTATAAGGTCAGTAAGAGTACACGATCCGGTGAATTTTACAAAATTTTCTCTCCCTTAAAGGTTGCTTGTTATATTGGTTTTTGTTGTGACATAGATCATGATCTTGTGGCTCAGAATAATAAAAACTTGAATTAGATATATTTATGCATACAATGTAGCGTTTTCACAAATAGAACAATATAGTTAATTAACCATAAAAAACCGCGCATTGAGTAACATCTAATATGAAAACTGTATGCCCTAATTTACCTATTCGATAAGTAGTCTGAAATTGATAGTCACTAGTTTAAGATCACGGAGAAGACTCTCCTACAAAATCATGCTTTTCAATGACCTGTTATTTGACAAAATTCAACAAAATAAAAAACATTAGAGATTCCAAAAACCATAATAAACTGATTTGTACAACATAAAAAATAACAAATTGAGATCAAACTCCAACAACTTCAACATGATTTGTGGAATATAAATAGATAATAAATAAAATCTTAGAAATAACAATAAATATCTTGATGTTTTCAGCGAAGTCTCCGAGGAATACCTGAGCAACAATGAGCGGAGGAATTTTCTAGCAGAGATAGATGCAGTGAAATATCAAGCAGAATTATCATCGATTCTTGAAATCTGTACCCAACTAAATTTGATAACCATAGAATTAAAACATGAAATCTGTTAACCCTAAACCAAATACTAAACCTAATCTCAAAACATGAAAATAAAAATTAAATTGGCTCTATAATAAAAATTCAGTTATAATAAGAAATTGGTTATCTTTGTGAATGCACGTATTAAAGATAAATACAACCATAGCGTGTGCAATATGATATCTTTGTGTAATATAAACTTATTTTATACTATTGTTAATAAATTAATCATAATATGATTTTACACGTGCAAAGTAGATAAATTAGTTTAAACTATTAATCATAATATGATTTTACACGTGCAAAGTAGATAAATTAGTTTAAACTTTTAGATAGTGTATAATATTTCAAACTCACGTGCAAAGTAGATAAATTAGTTTAAACTTTTAGATAGTGTATAATATTTCAAACTTAAAAAAGTATGATATCCTAATTATATAATATCACGTACTAAGGATAGATATATTAGTTTGAACTTAATTTAAAAATTATTAGAATTTGATTAAGTTAGAATTTGATTAGGATTAAGATAGTTCAAACTTGGAAGTTATTTGATTAGGATTAGAATAAATTATTAAATACAATTTAAAAATTAGAATTGATTAGTGATAGAATAGTTCAAACTTAATTTTGCTTCATTACAACAATAATATATTTGTGAATGCACGTATTAAAGGATAGATACAATCATAGCACGCGCAATATGATATTTTTCTATAATATAAACTTATTATATTATTGTTAATAATAAATTAATCATAATATGATTTTACACGTGCAAAGTAGATAAATTAGTTTAAACTTTTAGATAGTATATAATATTTAAAACTTAAAAAAGTATAATATCCTAATTGTATAATATCACGTATTAAGGTATATTAGTTTAAACTTAATTTAAAAATTATTAGAATTTGATTAAGTTAGAATTTGATTAAGATTAGAATAGTTTAAACTTTGAAGTTATTTGATTAGGATTAGAATAAATCATTAAATAAAATTAAAAATTAGAATTGGTTAGTGATAGGATAGTTAAAACTTTATAGGGGTATTTTTATCTACTGAAATATTTTCCTGAACTCGTGCTTTTATAGGGCGTATGATTTCTATTTCTACTATAAAAAAGAGGATTGGGGTGCTAAAGCTTTTAATTTTCTTTTTACCCTCTTAAATTTTGATAAATTATAATTTTGTCATTATCTCTAATTAACCTTTCATTAAATAAGTATAACCTCTTATTACTTATGCACCTCCTTACCTTCCTAAATAATTATAATTATTAACAATATATAACTATTAATTATTTAAAAATAATATAAAATAATTTATAAAATAATAATTCACAACTATTAGTAGTAACCAATTAAATTATTATGATAACTATTTATGAATTATAATAAAATAATTAAAATAATAGTATATATAGAATAATGTATTACTGAATACTAAAAATTATACTATAATTCAATGAGCAATAAAATAAATAGAATAAATTTTGAATAACATAAATAGTATAATTATTTTTAATAATATCATAAAAATTATAAATTACACTATTTATTTGGTATTATATTATTAAATAAATTAAATAAATAATTTAATATTATTTTTAGAGTATTTTCTCAAAGATTATTACATGATACTGAATAATCTATATTTAGTAATGATTAAAAACTAATATTTTCACAATGATTGAAAACTAACTTTTTCACAAAGAAATTATTTAATATTAATAATAGTACTATTAATTGTAGGTAAATTATAGTACCCCCGTGAACTTTCAGCATTTTGTAATAAAAAGACCATATGAACTTCCGAAATCACACTAAACCCCTAATAACTTTTTTAGAAAGCTCTCAATATCTTTAAATAAATTACACCAAATCCCCAATAACTTTCAAAATGTCTTTTTATGCCATTTTCTGGTTCTAATTTACGAGGGTTATCTGCAAGATTAAAAAAGTTAATTGGGGTCTTCTTTAAAACAGAAAAGTTATTAGGGGTTTAGTGTACTTTCAAAAGTTTATACGAGTTAAAAGTTCATAAGGGTTTAGTGTAATTTACCCTCTTAAATAAGTATAATGAGAAGTAACTATTACAATATGTTGCAAGTATCAACGTATAACTATCTAAAGAACATCAAGGGAAAAGCTGGCAAGATTAATATAGTTTAGTTAATTAAGAGTTAAGTTAAAAACTTTCAAGTTTGGGTGAATATTTAAGAGAATTTATAAAATTGACAGTTTTGTTTAATAACAATTTTAAATTTGAGGACTTATTTAAAAAAATTA